CACACACACACACACACACACACACACACACACACACACACACACACACACACACTGTAGGATCAAACCTGTTATATCTATGATGTTTATCCTCATGTGTGGAGTCTCTAAAAAGTGTTGAATTTACTTAATCAAGTTTCTGGTTCCACTAAACTGAACCAACATGTTTAGTGGAACAAGTTTGGTTTCAGTAAATTCAAAACTGTGTAAAAGTACTTTTACTGTACTGATTATTGTTGATTATTGAGAGCAGTTTTATGACTTTTACTTAATTACTCTTCTTATCAGCAATTTTTTTTTACCAAAGTCATTTCCTGTTAAGTTATTTGATGATGATGATGATGATGATGATGATGACTTTATTGTCATTGTACGGAGCACAATGAAATTACATTTAAGAACACCCATTCAAGAAGACACACACATGACAAACATGAGGGAACAGGTGATCAGGTCATGTGACAACCAGCAGGGGTCTCACTACCTTTTAAAAAGCTGAAAATAGGAAAGATGAGTTAAAAAAAATTGCTCTGAATCTATGTTTGCATCAGAAACACAGGATCATATGCACAACAGACTCGTGATAGAGCAAGACAGCTGGGGTGGGGTGGGGGGCAGCTTAGGTACATCTCATGAGATGGAGCGGGGTTCAGTGGAGTGGGTGACATTGAGGGTGGGTCTCCATGCTGGAACCCGTCCCTAGAACCCTCCAGAGTCCATGATGTTACCACCTCTCGCTCGGTTCACCAGAGTTCAGAGTTTCCTCCTCCTCGGCCTTGGGTTCACAGACCAGGTCCAACACCGGTGGTGGGGGTGGGAGGGAATCAAGCCCTTGTTGACATATCGTCCTTGGGGAGTTTAAATAGCAGGGAAGTCGAGGCCATGCAGCTGGGAGCCGAATAGATACACACGATTGTTTTGGGACAAAACATCATTGAATTTTTTTTTGCCGTTTTTAATGTTTTTGCATCTCTTAAGTTGCGAAAAAGTTCCAATAAGTCGAATTTGTGGTCCTGTTACCTCTCACCATCTGAAGCTTCACCCAAATGTGATCCTACATGCCAGAGACTCACTCCTGGGCTTCAATTATCATCAGAACCACATCCAGTTTGTGTTGTGTCTTTCCCAACAACTGAGTCTGTGTGCTTCCAGCCTGGCAGAATCCTTTCAATGTGCCCGACAGCTTCTCAACAGCCCGGCCGCTGTCAGGATCGCTTTCACTTTTCCATAGATCAGGAATCTTCCTCCTCCGATCAGCAGAAATACAGTTATCATAAATCCAAATAGAGACAAATGTTCCACGTCTTCAATGGAAAGTGGTGCCAGACCCATCAGGTTCCAGCTCCCACCCAGAAGCAACCGTTCCACTCAGACAGCTTTGTTCCCATCGTTCCAGTCTTAATGTGGTAAAAATAGTGTCAGATGTGTTCAGAGACCAGTTGACCAAATCCATAATTCCTTTTTGTTTCAGATGGTAGGTAGAAAAAAGGCTTGAAAGAGCAGCAAAGCTGGGTAGGAGGGGCAGGTTCAGGAGAGAACAAAAGCACGTCCGACTCCTGAAGGCTGAAGGGAAAAAATTACTCTTGTTTACCATAGTTATTATTATACGTATGCCTCTGTGTTTTACCAAGTCAAATTTAGGACCTTTTTTACTTCAGCTTAAATGAAATTTAAGACATAAAAAATATAAATATGTGATGTGATGTTTGGAGCATTCTGCTGTATTTAAAACCAACCACGTGTCACTCAATGAAATGTGTTGACTTGTCTCTGGTTCAGTTAGCTCTGTAGTCTATAGTGGAAAGCTCTGCTTAGTTTAGTGAAGCATTTGAGTAAATTCAACACTTTATTTCATAGTGTGTGTAAAAGTACTTTTACTTTCTCGATTTTTGTGAACAATTTTATGACTTTAGTACTTTTCTTATCAGTGAAATTCATTTTATCAGTCATTTCCTGGTAAGGTATTTTTTACTTTTACTTCTGTATTTATTTCAAGTACTTCATGCACCTCTGGGCAGTAGTAGTTACAGCTGTAGGTTATAAGGCTCTGGTATTAATATTTTATCTTTAAAACATCATTGACTCATGAGTGAGTTTGACTTTATGAATACTTTACCAGACATCTGTTGAATTTAAAGCGTCTTCCTTTTCCAGCATGACTTGGTAGTTTTTAAGTTGACTTCCCTCCACAGTGCCCGTCCATCACACCGGTCTGTGTGGACCTGGCAGACTGGGGGGCCACAGAGGCCGCACTGAAGGACATCGGCCCCATCGATCTACTGGTGAATAATGCTGCTTGTGCCAAGCTGCAGCCGTTCCTGGAGGTCACACAGGACCAGTTTGAACAGTAAGACCCTCGCATGTAGACAAACACAGGCTGAGCTCTGAGTTTCATGATGGGGGTCTCTGCTTGTGTTTCACAGGTCGTTCAGTGTGAACGTGAAAGCTGTGCTGCAGGTGTCACAGGTAAAACTAAGAATGAGGACTAATTAGGTGAAAAATAATAATTAATAAGAACTTCAGGTAAATGAACAAATGATGGTCAGACATTGTTTTTCAACCATGAATAGAATTTAAAAACTAAACCCATGAAGCATGTCTGGACAGAAATGATGGTCGCCTTCATATTTTGTTGCACAGCCTTTGAGTCAATCTCTACAATCAAACCATTCCTGTAAGTGTCAACGTCTGCAGCTCAGCAGGTGTTTGTTCCACCTGTCTCAGGTTTGATGTTTCAGCTCCTTCCAAAGATGCTCAACAGGATTCAGGTCAGGATCATAGAGACCACTTCAGAACAGTCCAGTGTTTTCCTCTGAGCCTTAGTGGGTGTTTTTACCTGTTTTGGCTCATTATCCAACACATTCTCACTCCTGACTCGTCAACACATTCAGGCTTTTCCAAAGTTCCCTCTGCGTCTAATTTTGACGCGTCGGGTGACCCCCTCACGTCAGTCTTTGCCGCCTGCTGCTTTTCCGGGTTGTACCACCAGGGGTCTTTGGGTCGGGGGTCTGAGGTTAACATGAGGGATCAGGATTAATGGTTAAGTTTAGGTACTNAATGACTGTTGTTAGCAAATCTTATTCTGACTTTAATCATTCAATCTGCAGATGAGCAGCATTTCATGAAAACTTAGGTCATTAAAGTATGTCATGAATTACTAGCTTAAACATAAAAGTATTAGTTCCATTACATCTCCCCCATCTGATCGTTAAATCACCAATTAAATGATCAATAAAACAAAAAACTATTTAATGTATTTAAAAAAACATGTCAAAATAAACCTAAGTATATGTACTTTTCCAAAATCCCAAACCCAGTAAATCAATTTTTATTCCWCCCACAGTAATTACTACCCCCAAAACATATTTATCACACAAAAGTCTTTGGATCATGTTGAACATTTAACAGCCTTGTCTGATTTGTTGTGTGGAAGGGTCAGAGGTGGTGGTGGGGCTCTGTGACTTTTTGTAGATCTTGGTTTAGTTCCTGGGGCTGGAAGATGAGAGTTAGCAGAATTTGGGCATGGCGTTTGTTTGATATTAATCTCGCCATGTTCTTTCATGTTGTTAGTAAAATCCAGGAGGGGGCATTCCACTTGCTGTCCTGTTGGGGTCTCAGAGTCCAAGAGATCCTCTGTTTGTGAGGCTGGTGAATCCAGTTCTTCCGGTTCTCCAGCTTGAAGCAACTCCTCTCTCTCCGGTTCTGATTCTGAAGCAGTCTCCTTATCAGTAACTGGCATGCTGTGTTCCACTGATATCTCAGTTTTCTCCAGCTGTCCTTCAGACGTCAGCTGTTGTGGTTTGTCCTGTTGTTTGTTTCCAGCCGGAAATTGGTTCAGGAAATACTTCATGTTTGAAGCCAGAAGCTGTGCTCCAGTTTGATTCAGAGACAGCTCATCAGACTTGAAGAGATGTTTTCTGTCCCAGAAGAGATCAAAGTTGTCCACAAATCTCACAGAGTGGTCAGCACAGGACTTTTCCAAAAAACACTAAGAGCCAACAGTCTGCTGAACCTCTCAGTTCTTCCTCTGGTTGTAGGAACTGGCCCACTGAGGAACACATCCATGTTGAGATTTTTATCTGCATTCAGCAGCAGAATAAAATCCTTCTTCAGGATTTCTGACTGTCGGTTCATAACTTCATCACTTCCTGTATGACTGATGAGTGTATTCAGAGTTGGATACTCAGCTGCAATTTCCAGAATCGTCTCTGTGAGGTCAGACACTTTATCAGCAAAACTCAGAACTTTGACTTTTTTCTTGTTCCAGAAGCCGTTGATCTCATTCACTGTTTTACCTGTGATGATCAGAATTTCTTGATTCTTGAAGGTCTCTTTTTGGACTTGCTTTGGTTTTGAGCTGGATTTGGATCTGGTCTCAGGTCCCTCACTGA